TATATATAGATATGTGTTTTTTTCTTTTTCATCTTGTCAGGGCGGATGGAAGTCACCCACGGGCCAGGCCTTAAATTTAGATAATGTTAAAAAGATAAAGACTATAAGACCATCTCCAAACACAAAACGTTGAGCAAAGTACGTGTGTACAGGTACAGACATCTCAAAGTTACAGAAAGCATTTGATTACAAAAATCACCTCAAAATGGTCAGCAAAAATAAAATAAAATGATAATCATCATTTTGCAGAAGCCAGTTTCATTAGTTTTTTTTAAACAAATCTGCTGAAACAAAATTCAACAGTAACAGAGTTTCATTAGATGATTTTTTTCCTCACTTTTTGTCAGTTTCACTGTATTTCAGCGAACTTTGTGGGTTTTAAGGGTACAAAAAAAATCTGTCATCATCTGTATGCTCAAGATTATCTCACATCCCATTCTGGCACAAGTTTCTTTTGACCAGGACAGGATGTAGCTCTGTGCTAAAAGTTAATGCCGTGCTAGCACAATGCTAACACCACAAATATTTCATCTGTGTTAGGTTGTTTTCATAACCTTCTTTATTTGACCAGAGTTTTCCACCCTTCTTTCCTTATTCAGCAGGCCTRTCCTCACTGAAAACAAGGCTTTGTGTCCAAAAGAAGGAAGGATAAAATCGGCCAGACTGGTCACATGTCATGAGGAGCCCATTGTGTTCTTAACCCTGAGGATCTCCCCAGGACCCTGCAACCATCATCCTGGCAACCTTTCCTTAACAATGTAGCAAGTTTGTTATCTGGTGTGAATGGGGCCTAAACATTTGATAATACAGTCAACTCTCCATGGATAGTGTGAGAATGATTGAAGCATACCTTGCAGCTTATCAACAGGCTGGAAGAATTATCTGTGTCGGCAGCGACAGAGAAAATAGGATTGTGCAGACAATGTTCCATATGTTCCGACACCCTGGACTCAAGAAGGTGCTGCAAGACATCTGGAGTGATGTTCTGCCCCTAAACACAAAACAGAGTTAAGATTAATACAAATATGTAATTAAATCTGAAGGTTTTCAAAAGAATTACATGTATACTGTATACCAAGCAGGCCACACATTTTGTGACAGACCACAAAAACATTGCTTTAGCTTTAAAATGGCACCTTTACTATCAAGTTGAATGATTCAGGAGAGTTCGACTGAAGAAGCTAACCTTAGTGTTGATGTAAAGTCCACAAACACAGGAGATAAAATAATTGTTGACAGTCAAGTTGTTCCTGCAAGATTTGAAAACATGTTGAAAATGGCTTCTTTTCCTTTGTGCTGTTAAAAACTAAACAGGCAAACTTCCTGGCTTGGAAAACCAAAGTAGCTTGTGATCAGTATGTGAAGACTCAATAACAAAAAAGTTAGGGCGTTGTGCAAAATGTAAACAAAACAGAATGTGATGAAGTGAAAATCTTGTTAACCCTTATTTTATTCACAGTGGAAAAAGCAATAAGTAAAATGATTTTAGGCAAAGTGGAGAACAGGGTTGGGTGGTCTATCTCAGTATTGAAATATGGTGACTGTTTTTAAAAATTATGACAATATGTTAACCCTCTGGAGCCTAATCACATGACCTTTTTAAATAACTCCAGCCAGAATGATATGCCCTCTATGAAACTCTGTTTCAAACTGTGTCAAAAGTGGATAATAAAAACTTTAAACCAGTTTTTAAATTGTGATGACAGACCAAACAGAGCTAGAGTGATGATAAATAGTACACGCCATCCCTCTTGTTGTTATCAAATTTAAAATGATCCATTTTCTTCCCAAGAATGATCATGTTAATTTCAACATTTGATGTGTTTATTGCATTCTGCTGAGAATAATAAAATAGTACTGCATTCTGTATTTATTTACATTTTACACAGCATCTCAACTTCTTCAGAATTAAGTTCGTAAGTATTTGTACAAAATTTGTAAATATTCAGACTCACATATGACAAATAGGACAAATAATATGCCTCTCGTCCATTCTGTCTACAACAGATGATATGTACTGCTGCTCAAACTGCAGGTTTCTCTCATATTCTTCTACTATTGACATCTCTGAAACCCAAAAAAATAAAAAAAAAACACAGATTCATTATAATGAATTTAAATCAACACACATGTCACTCTATCAATCAATTTAATGCAAATTCTAAAAGGCTTGTTTATTAGCTTTAATAAAAATGAAATCTTTACCTTGAGACCTGAGCTCTTGTTGAATTTCATCCAGCACTGCCAGCTCATCGTACTCCTTCATAGCACTGAACATCTGTTTAAATAACAGATTAAGTTCTCCACTTGTTTTTAAATCAGTTTGGTATGAGACAGCTTCTGTTGAGAAAATCTGACCGACCTCCTGCATGCCCTGCGGGCCCCACAAAGAGGAGGGTAGCCTCTGGTCCTCTGACTGAAGAGCGGTCCACTCTTCCTCCATCACCTCCTGGACGATGCTGGAGGGGGTCCATGTCCCGGTCCGCAGCTGGCTCTCCCCCGTCTGCCGGTACCTCTCCAGCAGCCTAGACCGGCTGTTTCTCAGCCTGTCTACACAACGCTTTAAAGGCAACAAGAGACACGAAGTAGCAAAATGTCAAAAGTCTGAATAGCGCTTCAAGGTGCTAACCAGTTAGCTAAAAGTTTTCGTTTTACTACGAACCCTGCGGTACTTTTCTTTCCATGACGGAGAAGTTCCTTTATAAAGTGACTGGTGGCGCTGCAAAGCATCCATTATTAACGATACAAGTCTTCACACATCTATCTTTTCTAATACTAAAACACAACTGAGGCTACCCTCGAAAACCAAAACATTCAGCTTTTAACCCCTCATCCCGGAAGTACACGTACTGCACTGCGAAATGCATGATGGATCTTGTAGTTCTGTGTTCATAAAACACAACAGTAAGGCACTGAGTAGGCTAGTACAGTTGAGACAGGTTTTGCTTTTCCAATCCTCACACAAAATTTAGACAATGAAAACTATGGGATATAGGAAAACACACTGAAAAGCGTATGTATGTATGTATGTATGTATGTATGTATGTATGTATGTATGTATGTATGTATGTATGTATGTATGTATGTAT